AAAAAAAAGAACAAAATAAAGCACCAAATGCCGTCAAGATGAGTTTCCTTTCTTACAAAGGCAATTTGATCCAGAAACTTGACCGCACAATGTATTATGCGGAAAAACCAATTAACCAATATTTAGAGAAATGTATAATAAATATTTATAATTAGAAAATTGACAAAAAAATTTTTTTAATGTCGCAAATATGCTTTGATGTTTACACCGTGAAGACCATTTGAGACAAATATCTTCAAGTATTATCTATCAATAACGTGAACTTAGCACCAATAAAGTCTGGCACTTCATTTAGCCTGATAAGACGTATAAATAATAAAATAATTTAAGTAAGAACTCATTCAATTTTCAATAGTTTGTGTTTAACCGTTGGAAGAGTTATATCAAAATGGTAAGACTTGTATTAAAACAAAATAACATAAATAAATATTAAAACTGTGTTTGGATTTAAATATAAAAGCTACAGTTTCTCATTAATTATTGCAACTTTATTTATTAAACTTTGTGCTGCTCAAGATATTCCAGAGACCGGGATTTATTTTGCCACTCCTGAAAACTCGAAATTTTCTAGTTATAATTATTTAATTTAAACTTATAAATTTTTTAAGCTGTTTAATTTTAGTTAGCTGTTCATTTCGGTGAAAATAATCGCAAAACTAAATATTAAATATAAAAAAATAAGCTAAAGGAAAGCATCACAATTTTACAAATATTGCAATGAAAACTTGCAATGTGCAAGTTTTCCAAATTAAAACAGTATTAATTTTTTTCGAGTTTAACTACTAGATCATCCAAAAGGAAAAGACTGCTTGAACAAAATTTACAAATATGTATTTGGAAAAATACCTCAGCCGATTTTTTAAACTCATTATAGTTCACCAAATAAAATAAAATAATAATATACAGTATAACAAATATTGTACAGGTATTAAAGTATGTTGTATTTGTATATACACTAAACAAACGGATAAGTAATTCAGTTAGTTAAGCACACGTTTAATAACGTGTATTTGGTTTCAGAATTTTTTCTATAACAATATATTTTTTTTAATTTCAGACATCACCGCAACTAAACCTATTGAAGACTTTGTTCATAAATATTGTGGGATGGATTGTCTTACTTCCTGTGGTGGCGATTTTCGCCGTATATAGGAAAATAGTTGATATAAAACTACGGATGATACATGGCGAATTGTATGGGGGCCTATTCAACTTGAATGATACGATTTTCTTTTGGACTGACGTTACATCTATTTATCTGACCACCGTATTATATATTAAAAGTAAACGCGAAATTGATCTCTTAAGCAACGTGCAGAATGTAATAAGGAAACAGGTAAAACAATCTAGTAAAATCTACAAATTTAATTTATATTAGCAAATAAAAAGCCAAGTCACTACAATAATGTAAACAACTTGCTTCTATATATCTATGCAAAAAGGCGGAACAATTAATGTTATACGATGTAATATAATCTGCAACAACTAACAGACAATACCAGAATATAGTCTAAAGAAGAGCGTAAGCATAATTAAAATAGAATCGCTACAGTTTCCTTTTGGTTTGAATTCTTGTTCAACAGATCTATCTACTATTATTCCACAACTTTGTATTAATGTCTTTTTATTACTCATCATGTGGTTGAACAAACAAAGGGCATTTTGCCCTAAATAGTGAAAAACATAATGCACTATAAAAATGTAGGTACATTTAAAAACTTTCTTTAGATATTTGGTAATCCAGACGCGTATCCGAAATTAACAGGGACAAAGTGCTCATTTGGAGGGTATGCTTACTGGAAGAAGTATGGCTGCCAGCCAGATTCTGTGGTACAATCTTTAAAGCTGCCAAAGAATGGAAAATTCAATGAAGAATACTTGAAGAAAGCTACTGCTGAAATCATTGAAACTAAAATTGATAACAATGACGCTGTATTGTGGAACTTCTATATTAGCGAGAAACCGCTTGAAGATTTTAGTTCGGTGAGTTGCATACCCTAATTAATAGTAATTTAATACATTTATAATGTTATACGACTTTAACTGATCATTAATGTAACGTATGAACGGTCACGGATATAATGCCTACAATTAAGCTTGCAAACATTAAACATAATAAAGACTAGAATTTCGTTGGTACCATCCGAAAAATCTTACATGAAACTTTGCACTATATTACATTAAACGTAATAATTGGTTAAACTTTAGTTGGTACTCTCAGCTTCCTATCTGATAATTTGTGTATGTTGTAAATGAAGCTTAACATAGATATTTACAAATTTCTGGTTCAATTTAGAAATTTTATTCACCGTCATTTTAGCCAGCTTTTTGTAGCTATAAACAGCGGCTTAATTTTAAAAGTGTTTCCATACAGGCGAATCATTTGTAAAAAGTGTAATTCGAATATCAATTTCAACTCTTCTATAAATTGAATTCACATGTTGTATTATTTTTAGGATGGTTCCTTTTGTTATCCAATAGTAGCTCGATTTCATCACTCCATCGCCGATGGTACCTCGCTGGTTGCCCTGTTTATTCGGCTCTTTGGTGACAGTACAGCCCAAAATTATACCGAAGAATTATTTAAAAAATTAATAAAACCACCTATTGCCCATCAGCATCATAAAACAGGAATCGAGTCGCTTGCAACACTTGTGGTAAGATTTTTAAATTAATTATTGTTCTTTGAAATCGAACCCAGTTTAATAATTTCAGAAAAAAATTATTAGAACCATTCATTTTGCGTTCGATCTTGTGTGTTTTGCATTTGGAAGACTCATTCGAAATGGTCAGTTGCGGGAACACGATGTGAATGGCTTACACCGTACCAGTTACTCTGGCGAAAAAATTACCGTTTGGGCTGATGAATCGGATTGTTTGATGATGGTGAAGAAAATAAGAGAGCGAACCAAATCGAAATTTACTTGCGTAATTAGCACTGCAGTAGCAGCGAGCATGACGGATTACTTAAAAAGGGTAAGAAGAATAATTCGATTGGAGTTGATTAATTTCTATTTGATATAATTATGCATAAACATGTATGCTTAAAGCACATGCCAGTATAAAGTAGAGCTGTTGAAGATTTAATTTTTTTTCAAGCACTGAATTAACAACAATTAGCTTATCCCAGTTTTTTTTATTTCAGAACAAGTTACCTGTACCAGAACAGACATCTGGAGTAATGGCATTACTTCTGCACTTCCCATCAATAGATCCAATTAAACCTGTCGTATTAGAGAATAAAGCTGCTGGTCTTTGCTACTCGCTACCATGCCATACATCCAACAATATATTGGATTTCTTACGAAATGTTACAGCATCAATGAACGAACAGTTAAAATACACCGATGCCATCGTAAGTATAAAGTTATCTGCTTCTAGAGGGCCTCTTAGTGTCTATTCCAACTAATCTAAGATATTCATTTGTCGACATGTACGGGAGTGAGCACATAAGTTCTATATTGTTTAGACTGATGCGTATTTTCAAAACCAAAATTTTTGTTGGCTATTTTGCATCAGTTTTGTGTCTTTTTAAACAGACAGAATTTCCTGATGTCTTTTACTACGAATGGATAATTATCTTATCTTTCTATAAAGAACGAATTTTTGCAMATTGCGAATTATGAAAGATTTGCCAACAAAAAATGTTWGTTTTTTGTACTGGCRCACTGTCCATGATCTGTTCAGTAGCTAAYTTATCCAAAAWAGTTMAAAAWWWTTAATTTTTAGAATATTTWCAGCTKTCAGTTCAAATCCAACATGATAAGTTGTAGATTATTTYGCWGGYCAATAAATATCAYCTGACCTTCCTTCGCTSATAATCAATATTTTTTAATGTAGTCATTGCMAATTAATATATGTATMARCCTAAATTATAATAAAAATAATTTWAYKTACAGGGTGATTTRTAGACAGGTGTTTTGTACAYCGAAAAATGTGTATGAAACTTTATTTATAACTTTATTAATAAMCCATTTTAATGCAATTTGCTCAAATACWAGGAAACTGTGTTAAAAATCGACGTCATACATTTAATTTTTGTTACATTTTGCATATAGAAAATTAACGAAATGGAAGCATTTTTTACAAATAAATCCCCATTCGTTTCTTGCAAAAGCTTTCATAGTTTAACAGTTTGGACTTGAAACATTTTTGTTTGTTTTGTCGACACACTTATTGTCGAATGAAAATATATTTGTAAGTCTGGAATTGGTTTAGCTGCTCACTTTCGCAATAGGAATTGTTCATTGCCATTTTTTCTAAAACTTTAATTTTTTTGTCAATAAGCTAAATTTTTCGTAATTCATTTCACCATTATCGGCTTGACTAGAATTATATCTTCACAATTATATTGTCTATTTAGATTTCCTCCTTGCTGCTCAGATACGCAATGGGTTTTGTGCCAGTTAAATTTATTGACAATTATTTGGGATTCGACGCTCAAACTTTCCTGCTCACCAACATACCAGGTGGTTCTAGAATCGAGATGTTTGATGGATGCATTTTGGAAAAAGTGGTCCCTGTAGCTCCCAATGTCAAAGGAATTGGTAAGCGAAAATAATAATATTTTACATTAAATAGCGAAAATTTATGAGTAAACACTTGAATGCAAGTGTTTCTTCATAAATACAAATTACGACATGCTTTGTTTCCTTTAATCCCATCAGACATGCATTTAGTCTTGAATACTGTTAGCTAACTGAAGGATTAAATCGTCAACAAGGTTGAATTTATCATTATACATATATGTGTTTATTGCAGGCATTTCATTCGGAATTATCAGTTATGATAATAAACTCCAAATCGGTGTAACAGTAGACAAAGCTATAACTACCAACCAAGAAGAAGTACAAAAAATTGCAAACGACTTCTTTCGAAATATTCGCCTTCTAGACGTTGCATCTAAAAATAGTTGCTGATTTAGCTGAAACTTTAATTTATATTATTTTTTATGTGCTAGTTATGTTTATTAATAGTATGTAACTGTGAATTTTATAGGATTAGAATATTTATTAAAACTAGAATTTAGTTCAATGTCTTTACACATGCTGACGTCTTTTTATCTAATGTAGGTTTATGAAGGAAATGAACTGTGAATAAAGAAGAGATATTTGAAAATATAACACTTTCATTACTTAACAGACCCCTAAGGATAAATCACCTAGTTTACCGAACTATTTAGGAATTATAATTTTTGAAGTTAGTTGAGTTAATAACTCAAAATACAGATGTTTACAAAAAAATAATTATATTTACTATATCAAGAAATACAGTAACAACAAATATAGCTATATTAACTCATTCATTCAAGAGGAATTAGTTTGATTTATGTGGTTATTATTACCAATTTTATTATTATGGCTGATCGAATCGTAAGTTATTAACATTGGTAAGTTCCGTAATTCTAATATGACATTTTTCACAAGTATTTTAAGTATCACAAATGTAATTTTTTTACATTCCCTTCTTATGTATGGACAAAATATTTCGTTGCTGTTATCACTGCATACATTGATAAACCTAATTAAATACTGAACTTTTGACATTGTGTAATGCAACTTTGTATTTGCGGAATTATGAAAGCAGTTATTGCAATAACACGAATGTTTTCTTAATTCTTTTTCCTTAACCTTTCCCTCAGAAAAATCGTATTAAATCTGACTAAGTCGAAGCAGGGCAGCCGCAGCCCCATTTAAGAGCCTACACATATTAATAATAAACTCAAAATTTGCAGCGGCATGCGTGAAACATATTTACTACTAATAATTATAATAATTCCGGGGTAATTCGTTCGATAAAATCCTTCCGTGCAAACTGCCAACATATTTTCAAATCACTGATGTTAGAGAGCCTTCTCAATTAATTTTATTTAAACCTACTTTCGACTACATCAGTTTTCTTAATGTCAAGCATCCCGAGTACAAGGACAAAAATAGTCGCATTGCAAACACAATTACTGCAATATTTGTAARAAGACCGCTGAAGATATATGAAGAAATAAAAAAAAAGAACAAAATAAAGCACCAAATGCCGTCAAGATGAGTTTCCTTTCTTACAAAGGCAATTTGATCCAGAAACTTGACCGCACAATGTATTATGCGGAAAAACCAATTAACCAATATTTAGAGAAATGTATAATAAATATTTATAATTAGAAAATTGACAAAAAAATTTTTTTAATGTCGCAAATATGCTTTGATGTTTACACCGTGAAGACCATTTGAGACAAATATCTTCAAGTATTATCTATCAATAACGTGAACTTAGCACCAATAAAGTCTGGCACTTCATTTAGCCTGATAAGACGTATAAATAATAAAATAATTTAAGTAAGAACTCATTCAATTTTCAATAGTTTGTGTTTAACCGTTGGAAGAGTTATATCAAAATGGTAAGACTTGTATTAAAACAAAATAACATAAATAAATATTAAAACTGTGTTTGGATTTAAATATAAAAGCTACAGTTTCTCATTAATTATTGCAACTTTATTTATTAAACTTTGTGCTGCTCAAGATATTCCAGAGACCGGGATTTATTTTGCCACTCCTGAAAACTCGAAATTTTCTAGTTATAATTATTTAATTTAAACTTATAAATTTTTTAAGCTGTTTAATTTTAGTTAGCTGTTCATTTCGGTGAAAATAATCGCAAAACTAAATATTAAATATAAAAAAATAAGCTAAAGGAAAGCATCACAATTTTACAAATATTGCAATGAAAACTTGCAATGTGCAAGTTTTCCAAATTAAAACAGTATTAATTTTTTTCGAGTTTAACTACTAGATCATCCAAAAGGAAAAGACTGCTTGAACAAAATTTACAAATATGTATTTGGAAAAATACCTCAGCCGATTTTTTAAACTCATTATAGTTCACCAAATAAAATAAAATAATAATATACAGTATAACAAATATTGTACAGGTATTAAAGTATGTTGTAT